CAAATTTAAAATAGTTTGTGAGAACCTCATGCAAAAAGTGGACTGTTTCATCGAGAATTGCTCATTAGCTTAATTATGTGGTAAGCAGGGCTGTCTCAGTGCGCGCAATGTACTAATTTTCTGAAATAAACAATGTGAGAATCAAGCATACACAAAATTTGCATGTCTTTCACCCTGCGCAAGTGTAAAGCAGCGGAGAAAAGAAGACAGACACACACAAAGAAATAACGAAAGCTCAATGTGTAGCCATCGCTCCGACGCACAGTGCAGTAGTGGTGCCAAGGGTATCAAAACACGCGATTTTTTGTTTACGCTGAAATGGATGATTAAAGGTACTAGGTGTAGTTTCTCGGGTTACAACACTCCTTCTTATAGTAAAATAAAATTAAAGATTAATCCACCTAAAAGTGAGATGCAAAATTTATTTTTTTAGTATGATGAGATACAAAATAATTGTTTTCGGCGAAGCTGTAGAAAACATAACTGTCAACAACTTTGCTGAAAACTATAACTTTCTAGTTTTTATAGCTCCTCAGATATAAAGGTTACTTTGTGGAGACATCTTTAAAATCTGTTTTTGAATAGCCCAAGTTTTATATGTAGTGGTGGAAGTATTAAAGGGTGATACGGTCAAAATTTGGTCAAGGGAAAACGCGTGTAAATCGGTGAAATCGTTTATTTAAAAAATCAAATTAAATTTCTTTTTCAAGTTCAATTAGTATAAAATTCAGGAAAAATATTCAGTTAGGCTTCCGCTTTTCCAAATCCGAATTGCCGGGCCTTACGCTTGACCCCTGCCATCAGATTTTGTACAGCCACCTTGTCCACCTTCTTCGCCGCAGAAAGCCAGTTTGCCTTGAACTGCTGCTCGCCCTTAGCAGTTTTTTTGGTCTTCTTTAGGTTCCGCTTGACAATAGCCCAGTATTTCTCAATTGGGCGGAGCTCTGGCGTGTTGGGAGGGTTCTTGTCCTTGGGAACCACCTGCACGTTGTTGGCGGCGTACCACTCCATGGCCTTTTTACCGTAATGTCAAGATGCCAAATCCGGCCAAAACAGTACGGAACAACCGTGTTTCTTCAGGAAAGGCAGCAGACGTTTATTCAAACACTCTTTCACGTAAATTTCTTGGTTCACAGTCCCGGAAGCTATGAAAATGCTGCTTTTCAAGCCACAGGTACAGATGGCTTGCCAAACCAGATATTTCTTTGCGAACTTTGACAGTTTCATGTGCTTGAAAACATCTGCTACCTTTCCCCTCCCTTTTGCCGTATAAAACTCCTGTCCCGGAAGCTGCTTGTAGTCGGCTTTGACGTAGGTTTCGTCGTCCATTACCACGCAGTCAAACTTCGTCAGCATCGTCGTGTACAGCCTCTTGGATCGCGCTTTGGCCGTCGTATTTTGTTTATCATCGCGATTTGGAGTCACTACCTTCTTGTAAGTCGATAGTCCGGCTCGTTTTTTGGCTCGATGCACGGTTGTAGACGATACACCCAGCTTATTTGCGGCATCTCGGAGAGAGAGGTTAGGGTTTCGCTTGAAACTACCGGCAACTCTCTTTGTCGTCTCAGCGGCTTCCGGTTTTCGATTTCCCCCCGATCCAGACTTCCTGGCTGTCGACAAACGTTCCCCAAACACTTTAATTACATTTGTAACGGTTGATTTGGCAACTTTTAGCGATTTTGCCAACTTTGCGTGCGAGTAGCTCGGATTTTCGCGATGCGCGAGCAAAATTTTGATACGCTGCTCTTCTTGCTTGGACGGCATTTTGACAACTGAAGAGTGAATTCCAAAATCAAAATAGGAGCAACATTCTACACACACACACCTTCAAAATGAGGGGTGTTCAGGTTTTTTAAATGCAAAATTGAAAGAAATACGTCAAGTTGATATTGACCAAATTTTGACCGTATCACCCTTTATCCTTGAATAATAAGATGTATATGAAAAGTTAGAGTGGTTAAATATTTTTGGCCAGCTAGAATTAATAAATACCCCACTGTGCGTCGTGACTTCGGTCGGGTGCGATGTACACAGCGCATACATATAGTCTATATCCATGTAAATCCAGTGATACACAGACTTGTTCCAGTCTAGTACCGTGTCTGACATTCGCAAAAGAGGTTAACATAACGTTGCGTCATAGCAACTGTTTTATTTCATCAAAACAATCCAGAGATCGAGCTGATTTCTTGCGTCCAGATATTAAGTGAATTGAGCTTTATAACCAAAATTTTTTTTTTCAAAAACTAATTTTAGGGGAAATAGCTTTAATGTTGGCCTATAGATCTAAGATTGGGCCCATCGCTAAAAATCTGCTATTTATCAATTGTATCTAGATGAACGCGTTATTGGGACAGTATTAATGTATATTTTTGGTCGCTATTGAAAATTTAGTCGATTGCTGAATTTATGTATGGGCCCAAATTAGGGGCATTTAGGTCGACATCCATTTCCCCTAATTATTTCCCGAATTAAGTTCCCTCCCCTTGGCTAGTTTTTTAATCTGGACGTTGGTGGGCGGGCCTAATCTTATGCTTCATAGTGGAGCGTTGGAGACGGTTGGTTTAGGTCCGGCATCGTTGGCTCATGCCGTGACAGAATAGCGTCATGAGCATGCGATGAGGATTACTGAGCTTCCCCTCTCTGATGAACCATTGCATAAGAGAACGAAAGTTCTAGTCTGAAGTGATAGTATCACACTTGTTACTCCTTTATTTGAAAGCTGCGATGTAGTACGCTTACGTATAGGCACTGACGTTGGGTGCGATACTGGCGGGTTTTGCCGCAAATCACTCTTATTTTGTTTATTTTTTCGCAGATAGATTTATTTGGGTTTGCAAGGGAATTATACTATTGAAATATTTCAGAAAGTGCCCAACAGTGCTTCTTCTACTTGCGTGACAAGCTTTCGTTGTTGTTTTCATTGAGGTATTACTCAGGGAACAATGTTAAACACCATTTTTTTACATGGTTTTGCAACTAATCTTATATGTGCTTCATTTTGATTTGGGATAAGTGTTTGAACTATGGCTCGGGATTTCCACTGTGGCGTGCTTCTATTGTGACATAACCATTCGTATTTTTGTGGTGCGACATAGTGGAAACGTGTGAGCGTAGTTGAAGCATATACCCTATGTAATTTAAAAATCAGCTAGGAAACTAACTTCAAAGTGAAGCATTTTAGACACTTGAAGGTGTCACCTGGGACGAACTAATATACATTAAATATAGGTCAAAGTCAAAAACAACTTGAAACACGTTAAATTTTAGATTACATTCACAAGTGCAGGTACTTAATAAAGCATGGTAGGTAGATTAGAGATTTCATTTATTTATTAAATTAGACTAGAGATATCATAAACATCAAACGAACTTAAATAAGAAAATTTAGACAGCCTAGTAGCATTAAGTGGATTAACAGAAGTGTTAGGATGCGGAGGGTCCGCTTAGGGAGGCAACTAGCCTTTAAAGCAACTGGAAACTAGCCTTTTCATGTATTGTCTATTTATTTTGATTATTGCTTTAAAATATCAATTTGGTATTTATGTGAAAGGATGAATCAGTGGGAGATGGATTTTCGGTTTCTTTACATTTAGCATCACTATGTGTCATTTCCTCAAAACCTCCCAATAACCGGCCTCTTCAATCCCTTCCTTTTCCCATGGCGTTCAAGTGGTCCGCATAGACTATTCAGCCATTACCCGTCCTTTATCCTTGGATTGACTTGCGGCTTTGGATTGACTTGCGCTCCCATTGCCCCACCAAACGCTGCAAAATGAAAATGAAATTATTTCCCGAATTAAGTTAATATACATAAATTCATTGACCTTAGATAAGTATCTCGTCCTACTTGGTAAAGTTTGTTGTACGATGAGTGTTGTAATTACATTTCTCGCATACAAAGATGATGTAAGAAACTCTTATTTATATTTGCACACCGTTTGTTTTGCGAGTAGGGTTTTGAATCGAATTTCCGTCATACTATCTCTCCTTTTTGAACGAGTTTGAACAAAAATAGAATGTTTCTATCAAAGATGAATTCTAAATGTATTTGCCTTTCCAAACGTACCGTTGGATTTGATAAAGAGTCACTAATTGTTGAGATATTAATATTAAAAATCTTACACTGCATCTTGATTCCAAATTCGTCGTACGGATGAAGGTAGAAAATGGGGATTCTCTAGGAGCTGTGCTTCCATTTATTAACGTCCTTTTAAGCAAACCACCTTGAAGAGGTGGAAATAGTTCATTCAGGACGCCCAAGTCGCAACCAGCACCCAGCCGATTAGCATCCCCAGGTAGCGATAATCACGGGCTACTTAGAGTTGGCTATCACCTATTTGCTCTGTCATCGTCATCACCGACACTAGCGACTTATAAACAATAGTGCATTAGTGACAACGATGATCCCCCGTTCTTGTTCGCATTACTGACGGCAAATATCACCTCCAGCAACCCCACCGGGCACCGCGTGGAGGTAAGAATCGGAGTTCAGGTGCACAGAGGTCGCAAATCGCCGGTCAGGGCAGAACCCAACAACCATTGATAGGCGTTCTTATGCACCTGCTTTACCCGGCACGCTAGGAGCGATAAGAACCAACGCATCGAAACAAATGTATTGTTGATTTGTAAACTTTGAAATCATTGATATTATTGATGTTTTCTGCTCGATAGAACAGAAATGGGCGATTACGACGAAGTAGTGCTCAACCCTATCTGTGACGAAAACGAATAGAAAAAACCGGACCAAGACATTTTTTCCCACTTGAAACACACCTACTTTCATCTTTCAACTGCCCTAGAAACCGAATTATGAACCTTCTCTGAAAACTCATAAAGAAAAACAACCAAAGGGTGTTAATTTATTGCCGTCCTTTTCATTTTCCTCCCTCCTTTCCACGTTGAAGTAGTGGATAAAGCTCTTCCTAATAAGTACAAAGCTCGATTTTAATAATTCCCTTCTCTAACCTCTCCCTCCGTTTTTGCTTTTCCCATTTCAGAAGTCGCTGCTAATTGGCCGTATTCCGGTGGCCCAGATGACCGGACCGATCAAACGAGGTCTGCTGTGGCAGCAGCGGGACAGACTCTTCTCCAGATGGAAGGAAAGGTTCGTTGCTCAAGATCTCCCGGTTTAAAGACCGACCTCTATAGTAGCTGCCTGTGACGGAGATAGACGACGTCGTGTGCTGTTTCTGGTTTCTCATTCACCATTCTTACACGAAGCTAGAAACTTGGAGGAAAAAGGGGTTTTATCTCCTCTGTTTTTTTTTTGTCTTTAAGACCTTAAAGCATTATACCAGTGTTAATTTCACGAAGTTTTCGTGACTGGAATGTGGGTTGAGCAAGAGAAAAAAAAACAGAGAGAAACAGCACATCGCACAACGTTCGATCCAAGCAGTAGGCTAGAAAAAAAAAGATTCTTAGAAAGTCCTGGCATTGCTCCTATTGGTACCTAATGAGCCATTTTGTGTTTACGATTATTGCAGATATTTCATCCTAACACGTGATTATCTAAATTGTTTCAAACGGGCGTCTGGATCGGCATCGGAGAAAATTTCCGACATGGGCCAGTTCATTTTTAAGGTAAGTTTTAAAGCTTGTTTGGGTGTGTTTTTTTTTCAATGAGTTCTTCTCGTTCTTTGACGTTGTGCAACCGCTACCTCGTTTTACAGATTTTCAAACAAACCCTTATGAATGTATCTACCGATGGAAAATAATCGAACGTTCTCCATTACATCCCTGCATCCTAACATAGAGGTCTACTTTAAACAGCATTGTACGAACGATGCAAAATGCAATCACCAATCAACTACCGGAAAACAGCAGGGAATTGAGGATGTGCGCACACTTTTCCCCAATATATGTAAATTTTCCACATCTTGGGGGCATTCGGGATGGGTGCCAAGCTGATTTGAATATCACTTTCACCGTGCATTTGGAACGTATATTCTCTGCACGTGTAGTGTCGGTTGCCAAAAGCATATGTGCATCGAGAGCAAAGAGTATGACGACGAACAGATGCACTCGCCTAGTCGCAGCGCCGATCGGAACGAAGCTCCGGATCAACGTCGTCTGGAAATTTGATTGAATCATCATCCTTGTTGAACGATGGATAGAATGCACGGCATATTTATGGTGCACCGGCTGAGCGTGGTGTAAAACAATGAAGCGGAAATAATTTGAAAACCACATTCTAGAAATGCTTGCTATTTACGGTACACATCAACCATTCTATTACGCTAGCCGCAATTTGGCAACCTTTCAATTTCCTTCCTGCCGTGAGATAAATGACACTTAATTACCCGCATTGTTTCGTCCCTTCTGGATGATCCGCTGTAAGCAATTCATTCCCGTATGAACGTCCACAGTATTTGGAGATTCGCTTGGCACTGTAATTAGCTCAACTGCCAGTAAGCTTAATAAATTCATTAATTAGACGTAGGCGTCAACGGGGAAACAACTCGAATTAATACAAGTTGGGGGCGAACGAGGACGAGCTCCGGGAGGGTGTATTTGTAGACAAATGGATAAATGGTTATCACTCTGTAAAAGCTTGGCCTGCATTCAACCAAATTGAAATTGTTGCTTTGCCCTAGTGGCGTGTAGAGCTATTGAATGGATTAGTAATCCCTTCTGTATTGTAATTAATGATGCCGATTAATGGGACGGAGTTTGTATATTGAAAACTATTGACATTAAATGGACTCTCATCAATCGACGAGTTGTTAATTAAAAGGCAATCAACAGGGGAATCTTTATTGGGTCTATGATAAATGGCGAACTTTAGAAGTTTTCAAATAGCGCTTAGCGCCACGCCTTTTAGTAGTAGAATCAGCTGCAATATCACAAAGTTATCTAGGGGAAATGGCTCCAATCGCTATTTGCTATTTATCAATTTTATCTAGATGAATGCGTCATTGGGACGGTACTAATGGATATTTTTGGTCGCTATTGAAAATGTAGTCGATTGCTAAATTTATGTATGGGCCCAAATTAGGGACATTTAGGCCGACATTACATCCATTTCCCCTTTTAAACTATTTAATACTTCGGGTAGTTCAAAAGATTAAAAGTAGTGTTAGGCCAATTTATTCATTTACTATGGAAAGCGAAGTTCGTTTGATAATAAAAAATGTTTTAAAATGTGTAACAGTGAATCTAATGAGTAAAATGGATACATGTTTAAACAAAAATACAATATTGAAGTCAAATGAAATCGTAGCTCCTCACCTGCTGTACATCTCGGTGTGGATCACCCGATAGTCTGTTTATTCGATGGCAGGCAGTGCTGATAAAACTCCTTTCTACTATACTCAACTTAGCTGAAAATGAAGACAATCTGAACAGATACACGAAACGAAAATCAATTATTTTATTCATGTGTTTCACTTATACATTTTTGCCAAACATCAGCCTTATACATTCCATAAGACAAACCATATAGGTCATATAAGAATGCATAAAAGGTATGTGTGACCGCTTATACATTTCATTTGACACATGATCTTCATAAACTTTTTGCAAGGCGTCTGCTTATTAGTTGACTTATACATTTTATGAATAATCAGCAATAGAAATTTGCCAAAAGGTATAAGGAGATTTCTATCCGTGTAGAACAACTACCTGAATGAATTTGAATTTTGACATCACAACATTCTCTTTATCAAGGCAACCTTTGAGTATCGAAGTCATCATTTGTATTTGTTCATTCGCGGCTGGATGTTCATTATCGCCTGTGTTGTTGTCAATATTGACATTCGTCTTCATCTTGGTGGAGATGGTTTTGAGGATCAAATGCTACATTATTATTTTCATTTTGCACAAATATAGCGCTGTAGGACGTGTTATCTTGGTTTTTGCATAGATAAAAATGCTTCCGAATGTTGATTTTCAACAAGAAACTATTGACAAACTGGTAAATGTCCAGCATTGTCCAAAAGCGTCGAATTAACTAACAAATCCACCAATTACCTACATGCATATGCTGCTTCCCCAGCACAGTCGTCAAAGAGTAGTAAGTAGACGAAACAAGTCGAAGTGGCATTCGCCTCCGATCCTCGGGCGCGTGCGAATAGGTAGGATGGAATTGCGTAATATTTTGCACACTCATCGCCATATTCAGAACCAAACGCAAATTCTTCAAGATAACCACCATCCGTCGTCTGGTTCGCCGTGGCGGTGTCTGACGTATCTCCGGTCAGATTTACGAGGTGTGCTGAAGGTGCTCCTGAAAAATGAGATCCGTGATGCTGTCACCTACACTAAACACGCCAAGCGTAAGCGGCCATGGATGTCATCTACGTTTTGAAGTGACAGAGACGCACTCTGTTTGGTTTCGGAGGTTAAATCACCACCAACTTTGGCAACAAAACGGCTCTTTTCAGGGCCACCAAGCTTATTAGAGTAAAGAGTAGGAAACGAATTCATCTGCCTGTTTGTCCATATTCAGAACCAACGATCACACAAAATGCTCATGTAATCAAACTGGAAGCAGGGGTATAAATTATTTTGATCAACTTTGAATCGCCACGGCCGGATATTTTCGGTGGAAGAAGCAACAATCTAGCATCTAATTCGAGGAAGACGACAGGAAACATTTGTGAAGCCGAGTTATTTACGAAAGAGAGTGTCGATGAAGAGAATCGATCAACGGCTTTACTTCCCGAAGGAAAGCGTGATCAGAGATATTATGCCTTAGAACATGCCGGTGGCGCCGACTAAGATTGGACCCAGGCCTGCTAGGGTGAGAGGTAATCACGCTAACCACCGCCGCCGATATCTTTCAAGGTGATATCATGGCGAATCAGAACGACCCAAATTTGAGTTTAGTTATCTCAGTAATAAGAAATAAAGTGCAGGAACTCAGCGATGAGTAAATTTGCCTCATGTTTTCCCAGGTTTTTCCAGGACTTTCCAGGGAAAAATTCCCGAATTTGAGAAAAGTAAAGATTGGATTCACTCAGTCTGATGGTACTACTCCGACACTGAATAAAATTCTCGTCAATTTCCTCATTTTCTGGCAGATTTTTTAGGTTTTCCACTGGAAACCATGAGTCAAATTTACTCATCGCTGAGTTCCTGCACTTTTGGCGATTATGAGTGAACTAAACTCAAATTTGGGTCGTTCTCATTCGCCGTGTACGCAAAGGAAAAGAGCCAGTGTCGCTACTTGATAGCAAACTACTCATAATGGGAGGAGTCTTTGTAGCTTTTATACCACTTGGTTGCACATCATTCTGCATTAACCTGAAAAGATATAAAAGAGCGCTGCTGTATGGCATTAACTCAACATTAGCTCGCGTAGTGTCGGTCGCTTCGTGTGATGGGAAGACAGCGCTCCCGGAGCAGGCTCCGTGAGAAAGCGGAAAAGAAGAACAGTGATGAGTGTAGCTTGAGTGTACCTATTTCGAATAGGTACGCTACTCTTCCCACCGATGTTGGGAATACCAACCCAGTCCCGGTGAAGCGGACGAAAAAGAGGAAGAAGAATCAAGGACAGTCCGATGGTACGAGCGAACGCGACGATGTTCCCGCGACGAACGCCAGCGACATTGGTGATTTCGGCGACGCCGTCGAAACTGAGAATTCTGCCGGCCCGAGTGCGGCGAAAGTCATGCTTCCTCCACTGGTGGTGAAGGAAGTGCCTCTCAAGGCGCTCATTGGCGATTTCGCATCGCTGGGCGTTGCAGCTGAGTTTAAGCTAGGCAGGATCGGCACCAAGGTGATGCTCCGTACGAAAGTGGAGTACGAGGTAGCCGTGAAATATCTGAAGGATTCCAAGGCGGAATTCTTCACGCACGACATCCCCGGTGAGAAGCCCTTCAAGGTAGTCATCAGGGGTCTACCGAATGTTGATCCCAAGGCGATCGAAGAAGAACTCAAGGACCGGTACAAGCTGGCCCCAACCGCTGTCTTTCGGATGACGAGGAGAGACGAAAACGTGAAGACGTACCCGGATTGTCTTTTCCTGGTGCACTTCCAGAAGGGATCGGTGACGCTGAATGCGCTGCAGGCTATTCGCTCAATGTACTCCATCATCGTACGATGGGAGCCGTACCGTGGAGACCATCGCGATGTGACCCAGTGTCTGAACTTTGGACACGACACTCGCAACTGCAACATCAAGCCACGCTGCAGCAACTGCGCTCACGAACACGCCACTTCTGACTGCCCTGCGGATGGAGCTGTGGCGTTAAAATGCGCCAACTGTGGTGGTGCACATCAAGGTTCTGACAGACAGTGCTCCAAACGCGAGGACTTCAAACGCATCCGAAAACAGGCGGCAACTAATAACCAACCAGGACGCAAGAAGGACAAAGTCCCGGCATTTCGCACGGAGGATTTCCCGCCTCTTCGTGCTCCTCAGCAAAGGCAAGCGAATTCGCGCGTGCATCTCACTCAAGCAACTTCCGGTGATTCTGCTGGCCAAAGCTCTCCATCCCCCCTGGATTCTGGAGACAACCAACAGCGCAAAACAACAACCCCGATCTGTTCTCAGCGGATGAACTGATGGAAATTTTCGTCAACATGTCCGGTGCTCTTCGTAAGTGCCGCAATAAGCCCGAACAGATCCAAGTGCTCGG